CATCCTGCCAGGGTCTAGCTATGTGCATTATTAACCACATCAACCATGGTATATTCTACTACAGACCATTCTACTACTGAGGTTGTCGAAACATCAGTCCCATTAAACAGTCTACATCCACCCAGATGATTATAATACAAATATTGCTACTTTGATAAACATTCATTCACCTGGGTTCAGACCATTCTATACAATAAGCCTGAAGCGAGATGACGTTTAACCCCCGTCTCTAGACCATAATCATAAAAAGTTTGCGAAAGAGTTGTGCTAATGCAAATTGTGTTAAACCAGCAGTGAGAGTAGGAATCATAGGAACAGCTGAAGACACTCGCGCGGAATAAGCCTGAAGCGTGATGACGTTTTGCCCCCGTCTCTAGACCATAATCCTYTTCACACTGCTTTTGTTCTTTAATTATGACTATTGTTCCAGTATTCTCTAAGGAATCAAAAATTGTAATATGAAAGAATCTTAAAAACTATTATGGTTTAGAGTCGGGGGTAAAACGTCATCTCGCTTCAGACTTATTGCCCTTATATATTAAACCATGTTAGYAGACATCATACTAACCTGTGACCGAAACGTTTCAGTTTGGGTAACACTCTATCAAGCAGTTCAAACTTGCCTGCTACCCTGAAGACGTCAGGGCTGAAGGAAAAGAATAGAAAGTTGGTTGCTAAAAAATAAGTAGAGTTTATAGGCATTATTATTGAAGTGGGTTCCCCAAAGTTTAAAGTCTTGTACAACGACAAGCACTTTAATGAGTATCAATCAAGGAACTTAAACTTAAAGAAAATACACAAATGTCGAGATRCCACTGAGTTTATTTACCCATGAACTATTCTTGAAGGAAAGCCCAGATGTTCAGCAATTGATTCCTAAAACAGCATAATATATTAGTATTTTTACAAAAGTGAAAATAATAAATCTGGTGTGTGCTCATTGGTTACAATTTACATCTTATGCTGGTGAATAAAACTTTTTCTCAGAAAAAAATCMCAGCTCCAGGTAGGATTCTCCTGTTCAGGTTCTGTAACCACTGAGCTACTAGGAACTCATGGTGGTAAGCTAGATATAGATAATATTTAGATAAGGTTGCCTAAGTTACCTCAATGTGCTGGAACATGAATGGATGGTTACAGATCTTTCTCAGTTGCATGATAGTGTTCATCAGAGTCTTGGTACCTCCTTTACCCTGTATAATAATTATCCATATTAATTATATTAATATCTAAATGCGATGTACACAATATTCAATCACTAAAACAATGCTTCTCTTTAAAAATCTACCCAGCTTATTAATTGATAGAGTTTTTGAGCATTTCTTTGATAATTCTTTGATCATACAAAACTTTCTCAACAGCCCAACATCATCATGACCAGAGATATTTTCCCCCCCCCCCCCCCCTCCACAGAGATATTTGAAAACATATCCCATTTTCCTTACCTTCTTATCCTTCTCAGAACCATCAGTGAGTAGAACACCCTTCTTTGTCATGTGGTTAGCAAGGATACGCTGCAGGATTGACATGTCACACTTGATGACATACTCCACCTGAAACCACAACAATTGTACAAGTTACACCAGTACTATAGATGCCTAAAAAATACCATTTAAGTCTAATTATTATAAGAGTGTCACAGATGCAGACAGGGACTGATCCACAAATATTTAAAAGACAAATGCCATTTAAGTCTAATTATTATAAGCGTGTCACAGATGCAGACAGGGACTGATCCAGAAATATTCAAAAGTGGGTTGGGCAGAAAAAATCATCGTTAGATGAACCTCATCAACAACWATAAGAATAAAACAATAAAAACGATCCAAGTCAACCTCAACTTGAAAATATTGTAAGTTATGTGGTCAATCAAGTGAATTCAAGAAAGTTATTTATGACACCACCAAAAAAAACCAATATCAGAAACAATTATTAGTTATAAAAAGTCATAAAAAATTTGAAAATAATGTTCCAGGTGCCACTATCAAACCCCATCTATCAAACAACAAGTACATGTTGCTTTAATGGTGTTAGCGAATACCTGAGATTATTAATGTAGCACAAGGTCCACACCTGACGATCATGGTATACATCCTGCCAGGGTCTAGCTATGTGCATTTTAGTAAAAATACACAGGTGATTATTGAAAATCTCGCGTGCTGATTGGTCGAGAAACTCACACTATCACACGATAATCACCTCCAGCTATAATTCAAAATGGAGGCCAGCCGCTTTGTTGCTGTTACCGGAAAAATTTGTCTTTTATCTTCTTTTTTTTTCTTTTTTTGAAATCACCTGTGTATTTATACTAAAACAATTATTTGCCTCAGCCTCAGTGAATACCGGAGAATATTCACCTTACCGYTCGAAGACTCGCGTCTCGGTAAATATTTCCTGATATTCACTTTGCCTTCAGCAAATAATTGTCAAATATTAAAGAGTTTTTATCATATTTTATCTTATCAATAATTTTTGGATAATCTATACAAATGATGTCAGCCCTTTACCATGAGAATGTTTTCATAAGTTTTCACTGCTACCTGTTTTTTGAGACAACAGTCACAGCAGGAAAATCAGACAACAGACTACTGTCAATAAAATAAATTGTTTGATACCTTAACCTGCCCTGAYTGACGGCAGTGCATTACCCGATTTTCAAGACATGACTGTTGTATTGATAAGATTGAACAAAGACAGAGGGGTAAAAGGAGTGCAATAGCTGCTCCAATCCTTACCTTATCAGGAAGCTGGGATTCAACTTCTTTCTTGAGGCGACGCAGAAGGAAAGGTCTAAGTACCTAACGAAATCATAGCAAGGTAGTAGTAAGGTGATATAATTGACAAGACAAGGCAATTTGGTTTGATAAGATAAACTTATTTAATCCTCATATCTTCTATCAATTGAAAGTATACCTTGTGCAGACGTCGAATGATAAGAACAGTTTCTTCTTCATTCAGTTCAACCTGTTAGATAAATAAAYATAATCTTATTTTAATGTTCCGATACAAGGAGGCATTGCCAAGTCTCCCTAGCCAAAGGTTTATGTCTAAGTATAACACACTCAACACTCACTACCACATTTACCAAATTATCAAYGTTTTTTTTAATGTCCTCTAATCAACCACGATATGATTCAACAGTTGGTCAAACTGTTATGTACTCATGAGGTATAGTTTTGACAAACTGATGAGTCATATTGCGGCAAATTAGATGACATACCACAAAAAACCATCAGAAATTTGTTTTTTACTGCAAAACATTTGAAAGAAAAACTGTTCCTAGTGGCGCTGGCTCCATTGCATGAACAATACAAATTTGCTCAAGCTCAAGCTCAATCCCAATTTAGGAGGGATCCGGAGGATATTGGTAATGATCATGTAATGATAAAATAAAAGACTTTATCTATAAAGTGTTTTATTCTATGAAGCCCAAATGAACTGGCCAATGTTTTGTCTAAAAATAATATTASCAAAAACTAAGAATACAAAATACTTAAACTACATGTAATAATAATATGTACATGGTTAAACGTTTACTAGCCTTATAGATCYTTTTCGAGTTCCAAATTACCGCTGTGTTTCTTGATWACAAACTCATTTACTCAGGTTTAGCCTCACATCAGTGTTTAAATATTCACAATTAATACCAATTGTTAMGTAAAGAATGCTCAACTTCAACAATACAAACACTTTGGAATTTGACGGACCTTGACTTAGACAAGTGAATATTCTACACAAATTCAAGGCTTAGCCTGAGTAAATGAGTCTGTAATCAAGGAACACAGCAGTAATTTGGAACTTGAAAAGGGTCTATTGCAGAGATCTTTCTCTGCTCTCYGTTCTGGCTTAATAAAGTAAAAATCTAAAATTAACTATGTAGTTGAGTCTAGAAATGTAGACAGCAGCTSTGAAATGTCCTATACTTACCTTTTCACCAGTCATAGCAAAAGGTGCATTAAACCACTGCTCAAAGGTACTGCAGGACTTGAAGATGGTGGGAAGCAGGAAGTTGAGAAGTGCCCACAGCTCTGGAAGACGATTCTATGAAGATAACAACATCAGTTAGCTGTAGTTGAATGTCAACTATTCATCTATGTCATTAATATGAAATCATTTTAACAAATAGACATCAGTTTTGTATGTGTCTGTCCTCTTATTGACGATAAATTGTGTCATCACATTGCCAAAGTACTGTGGATCAACACTACTTTTACAATGAGATGACGCAATTTACCGTCAATAAGAGGACAGACACATACAAAACTGTTGTCTGTTTGTTTTTTTACAATAACAAAAATGATAAAAACTTCTCCTTTTTAGCTATCAAAACAACCAACAAGTCGACGTCAGCTTTATCTGTCTGCCCTCTTATTGATGATGAAAAATAACCAAATATCACGTGAGAAATTCGTAAGTTATTGTAAAAATCATCATTTTCATCATCACCATCACAATTACCATTATCAAAGTCATTGTCATTATCACAACCATCACCATCACCA